GTTTCAAAATACGTTTGTTTAAAATGTTTGCATCTCTCTCTGATCTGGAGACATTAAACCATTTGAGCTGAAGTCGAATACAGGAAAGTTGGAATCCAAGGCACGAGACAACTTCGTTCATCTTTAATGGGCCTCAAATGACCCAATTAAAAAAATGGGTCTAGGGCAATGGAGATAGCTCAGCGGTCTAAGCACCTCCCTGGTAAGCGCAAGGACCCAAGTTCAATCCCCTATACCACATGCTGTGCTGGTCCCATCCCAGGCACACTGTGTTGGCCCCCAAACCTGGCTTGGTGGCACTGGCCTGTAATCCCAGTGCTGGGGAGGCTGAAACAGGAGGATCACTATGAGTCTGAGCTGTGCAGAGAGATCTTGTAACAAATATATATTTTAATGGATCTAATTATACCCACTGCATTGGACCTCTGGAAAATTTAATGAATGCCTGAAAATAGAGGTCCTCAGATGAAAATAGACTGCAAACACAGAGTTGCATCACAGAAATTGACTGAAGGCCTTCCTTTCTGCAGTCAAATGCTGTGGGTATTATATCTGAATTGTGTCCCTCCAGCTAATGGCAATTTCTGTAGTTCCCCTTTGTCCCTACAGGTGCTTTTGAACCCTGTGAGAGGCCTTTGAGGTGGTGTGTCCCTGCTATCCCAGTGTTCTGCTAGGCTGATCCAGGAGAAGCACAAGTTTCAATGCAGCCTGTGCAACAGAGTAACTTAGGGAGAGCCTACCTCAAAATAATAATAAAAATAAAAAGGGGCTTGGAATGTAGCTCAGTGCAGATGTCCTGGGTTCAGTCCCCCATACCACAAAAAAAAATCCCTTTGAGTTCATGGGCCCCTTTTATAAACACATCCAAGATGATACTCCTTACCAATTCAGTTTTCAGGAAGGAAAATATCTCTTTGCTCTCTCCAAGGGATTCCAGGCAATTTCCCCTCTTCAACAGTATCATTTGGGGATGACTATGGCATTTCCTACACCTGGCTCAGATTGCTCAAAATTGAAATGGTCTTTCTTAACGACCAGTCGAGGAGGGGGTTCGGGTTCATCAACTTTGACTTATTCTTTGGTACCATAATAAAGTAGAGAGACTTAACTGATTTTCACCAAGTTGGTCTATAATAAAGGGATTCAGGAGGTACACAGTTCTGTTCTGCCTTTTGATCTGCCATCCTCTAAATATAGCTTTCCCGCTGGGATCGTGTGCCCGGGGTGAGGGAGGGACAGAGGACCCTGTGTGGTCTCGCTGCTATGGGAAGCTGTTGTATAATCCCACTGGGCCACTTTCTCAGGAGCGGTTTGTGAAGTTGAGTATTTTACTTATTTCTATACAATGAATGGACTGGGACAGTGGTGACCTTCGCCCCCGTGATGTGCTCAGTCACTGTGCCCTCTACCCAGATGGCCCCCTGGCCACCCTCTCCCCCACCTGAGAGCCCACACAAATGCCCCCATCTGGCTACTCTAGCTGGTTCCCATCCCTGTACCTGTCATCTCTCTCAGTTTCTCACCTCATTTTCTTTATCTCATTCTCCTTACGTAACATCTTACTGTCTCTCTCCATGGGATGGTGGGGTGCAGGCACCTATGTAATTTTTGTCGCACCCTTTGTCCTATAATACTTACTATCTTGAAGTAAGCATTGATGGATGGAAGGCCTTAGTCGCCAAGGTTGGGAGCGTGCAGAGCTTAAGTCTGAGGCTGGAATTCAAGTATTCACAGGGGGATATGGTCCAGGGGTGACAGAAACAAAGGCACGGCACTGAATCTTCTGTCACTGAATGTGCTGTCACTATCCACCCAAGGGCTTCCCTGAGGAGCATGGGACTGTATCCCAGGACCTGTATCTAGTGTAAGGGGGAATATTAACCCCACCTTCCTCTGTCAGCTCCCACCCTCTACTGGACGGATAGCCACCCACACCTCAGTCATCTCCACAAAGGGATCACTGGGTGTGACTGGGAGAGGTGGCACTCCCACTCCTGAGCGAATGTGCTCCTGAATCCAGGGGCTGTGGGCTCAGTTTAATCTCCACACACCGGAGGACAGGGTCCCAGATACACTGGGGAATCCTCCTGAGTTGACCCCACGGCAGGGTCTTACACTGAACACTCTAGCATTTGCTCAGCTAGCCGCTTCTGCTGATAACAGGGCACCTGCTGCATGACCAGCAGATTCTATGAGCGTGTTCTCAATGCTCTGCTCCTTCCCTGAGACAAAGTGCTTGGCCTAGGGTTTGTGGTAAACACGGCTGTCCTCCCTCCTTCATGGAAAGACGTGTTCCAAGACTCCCAGAGGACACCTGAAACTAGAGCGCGGAATCCCAAATGCAGGCTGTGAGCAAAATATAGTGAATGTTCGAATTTTTTAAGGATTATTACATTAAGAATCTTATTACCGTTAATACCCTGTACTTCCAACAGACTTATTCCACTGTGGTTGCCACTTTCTTTTTTTCTTTTCTTTTTTTTTGGTGGAACCGGGGATTGAACTCAGGTCCTTATGCTTGCCAGGCAAGCGCTTATTCTATTGAGCCATCTCCCCAGTCTGGTTGCCACTTTCTGAAGCAGTCCCAGAAGTCCTTTTTTATGAGTGTCTTTACAAGATGCAATCAAAAATGCAGTGAATGTTGTTGCTGCCTGCCATCCAATACAAAAGCAGGTTTGTAAAGACGCTACAACTTATCATCAACTTTATTCACTAGATGTGACACTACGTGGCTTCTGATTCATCTTTAAAGTCAAAATGACAATGAAAGGTAAATGTTTTCAGACATTTAAGAGAGGAGGTACCATATGAAGAAGCCACACTCGCTCCGTCACTCCTCCATGACTCAAGCCAATTGAGTTGACATAGTTAAGTGTCACCAACCACAGCCCTCCTGAAGCTTCTTTCATCCTTTGCCTCTGTTGCTAAAGACTGGGGCAGGGGGCTGGGGAGATGGCTCAGTAGAATAAGTGCTTCCCTGGCAAGTGCAAGGGCCTGAGTTCAATTCCCAGTTCCTCAAAAAAAAAAAAAAAAAAAAGACTGGGGCAGACCAGCATGGTCTGTGTGGTGTCAAAGCCACTGAAGTCCCCATGAAGGATCTTGACTGAAGAACCAGAGAGTTAGCACCGATCTGCAGCAGGATGGGCATGAGTGTACACTGCTGTCCTTCCCACACAGAGACAAATTATTTCTTCTCCTCCTCGCTGATGAGGATGAAGAACGCGCCCTCTAAATCAGTAGCTGCATACTGTCCCACTTCCATTCCCAGCCAAAACGCCAAGGTAATTTTACCACGGCAACTTTCCTACCATAAACCATTATAAAATTACAGAGAGCGGACATGATGACACTATGTCAGGGCTTTGGACAACAGGCCGGAAAGAATGTGGCCCTTGAAAGAAGGGAAATACACAAAGCGGGCCTGCTCGTTTCTCTAGCTCTCTGCCTAAGGGACATTTCCCGGCTGCAGGGAAGGATACTGTGGTGCGAGCAGAGGAGCATGGCAGCCCCACCAAGCTGTGGAAGCTGCCCAGGCAGCTGTGGGCCAGTGCATGAGACAGGAAGAAACTGTGCCAAGCAAGTCTCCTCAGAATTGTGTGTTGGGCTGGGGAGATAGCTCAGTGGTCTAAGCACCTGCCTGGCAAGTGCAAGGACCTGGCTTTGATCCCTGGTACGACATGCCATGCTGGACCCCACGCCACGCCAGCCACTGAAACCGGACATGGTGGCACACGTCTGTAATCCCAGTGCTGGGGAGGCTGAGACAGGAGGAGCACTTTGAGTCTAAGCTGCATAGCGAGACCCTGTACCAAATAAATAAATAAATCTTACCAAAAAATTGTGTGCCGAAGGCACCCACAAGCCTTTGACCAAAAGTTGGTTCTGCATGTGGAGGAAAAGATGGCCTACAAGTTAGCAGAGATCAGCTTCTGGGATGCTGAAAGGGAAGATGGTACCGAGACAGCATGACATCCAGCACCAGCAGAGGAGTGGTTTCACCTAGATCCCAGATATAAGAGACATCAGACAAGCCCACGCCTCAGGAATAAAGATCATAATTTAGAGAAAAATCAACTCGGCATTTTCTCTAGCAAAGTAGAATTCAACAGAATTCTGACTGCAAGGCAGAATTTGGAGGGTAAGTCAAATCAACTTAGAGGGCCTCAGAAAACACCAGATAGGTATCTATGCACGTTTAAGTTATTAGGGCCAAATTATCTGCTAAGTAAAGCCAACATTATTCACAACCGAAAGGCAGGGATCTCAAATTCTGTATAACGCATCATATCGGATATGCAGAATATAGCAGAAAAAAGCCCTGGACATGGAAATCGATGGGAAAGTGTGGCCCTGACTCAGGGAAACTGCAGTCA